GACGCATCAGAAGCGGATCTAGCTAATTAACACACAGGAAAAAGCACTCATGCTCAAAAGATAAGACACCTCACCAGACACATTACATGTTTAATATTATTATTGGAGAAGAGACATTAAACAGAAACTGTATTCACAATCAGGTAGGGCAGTTTATCATGCATTATGCGCCTACACAGGCATATCAGCTGGATTAACCAAAGAACAAATATGCATATATGCATAACCCATGGACACAGACAATAATGTGGTAAAGGCCTGGGGGAGTGACAAGAGTCAATGGGGAAAAAGGGGCGATATCTGTAATACTTTCAACAACAAAGATACATTACAAATAAATCCATAAAATTAGTTAGACTGGTATCTGCTCTGGTTGGTTGATATTTATGGCATACTCATTATTAAATATTTTGAATATCATCCCCCCAAGATTCTCCAAATTTTAAAAGGTCACTCAAGAAGAAATAGATAGCCCTGACCAGTTTGGCTCAGCGGATAGAGCGTAGGCCTGCGGACTCAGGGGTCCCAGGTTCGATTCCGGTCAAGGGCATGTACCATCGTTGTGGGCACATCCCCAGTGGGGAGTGTGCAGGGGGCGGCTGATCAATGTTTCTCAATCGATGTTTCTAACTCTCTATCTCTCTCCCTTCCTCTCTGTAAAAAATCAATAAAATATATGTTTTTTAAAAAAAGAATAGATAATTCAAATAGTTCTATATTTATTAAAGAAATTCAATTTGTATTTTAAAACTTTCCCACAAAGAGGAATGAAGTGATAGCAATTCTATATACAATATTCCAGGAAATTGAAAAGGAGGAACTATTCCTCAACTTTCAACTAATTCTGTGAGGCCAGCAATACCCTGATAACAAAATCAGACACATTATAAGACAAGAAAACTTAAGGTCAACATCCCAGATGAACACGGATGCAAAAATAATGAAGGCCCGCTCTAGCTGGTTTGGCTCAGTGGTTATAGCATCTGCCTGTGGACTGAAGGGTCCCGGGTTTGATTCCAGTCAAGGGCACATGCCTGGGTTGCGGGCTCAATTCCCAGTAGGGGCGTGCAAGAGGCAGCTGATCGATGATTCTCTCTCATTATTGATGTTTCTATCTCTCTCTCCCTCACCCTTCCTCTCTGAAATCGATAAAAATATATATATTTTTTAAATGAAAACTGCCTTAGCAAAAATAAAAATAAAAATCTATCAATTGTATAAAAACAGGCCACACAGGCCAGGCCAGATATGCTATCCCTGCTTTAGAGCTGCTTCTTAACCATAATAGTCCAAATCAAATAATGAAAATATTACACCGAAGTGGAGTAAACTGATAAGGTTTACTATTGGAGATAAATGGCATGGACATCAGCTAGCTATCCCACACCATGTCCCAAGGACTGGACTTATTATAACATCTCCTTTACTACACATTGTTTTCCACTGAGTTTACAATTTTTCCACTTATTATTTTATATACTTATCACCAATTCAAACCTGAGCCTTTGCCTAAAAATTTTCTAAAGATAATTAAATATATCAGGTTTCTATCGATCTCATTTCCTGAAAAAGAGTCTTCTGGGGGCTTCTAACCTACTCTAATCTGGTCTGATGCCCTCTGTCCCTGTTTTTTCATTGTTATCCTGAAGAGTTCTTCACTTTCTCCTTTGTTAAATTTCCTATTCCCTGTAACCCATTCCTTTTATTTGGCTGACTTTTTCATTTTGATGGATTACATCCTCCAACAGATTCCTAGAAAAGGAAGGCAAAACACACACACACACACACACACACACACAAAACCTTATATGTCTTAAAACATCTCAATTTTGTTCTTATATCTGATCAATAGTTTTGATGCATATGGAATACTAAGGTTGAAATTATTTTCCTTCAAAATTTTGAAAATGATGTTTCATTTTCATTCAGTTTTATAATGCTACCACTGACAGGGCCAAAGCTAATTGATTCCTGTTACTTTGTATATAACAAGTTTTTCCCCTCTCTGGAAGCATGAAAAATCTGTTTGGCCCAGTAATTTGAAATTTCACCACACTGTATTTTTGTTGGTGTTTACATTCATCCACTGTACTGAACACTTGGTAAACCTTTCAACTAGGAACCTCAAGTTCAAGAAAATTTTTTTGAATAATTTTATTGATGATTTATTTCCCATTTCCCTGTTCTTTCTTTTGGAAACAACTATTATTTGAAAATTGAAATTTCCTGGACTGGTTCTGTAAGTTTCTTAACTCTTCACTTCTTTTCTATAATCTATTTTTTGCTCAACTTTTTCAGAGATTTCTTCAACATTAATTTCCTATTACTTCTGATAGCTTTTGATCTCTATCAGAATGTTAATGGTGAAAGCCTCTTTTAAAAATCAGAGTATTATTCTTTTAAGGTACCTCCTCCTTGTTTCGTGGCTGTATTATTTTCTCTTATTTCCCTGAGGATGTTAATAATGGTTCAGTTATTTTCGTCTGTAAAATTTCTGTTCACTCCAAGTTGCTTTATTATGTTTATTTTAATCTCCATTTTTAAGAGGATTTTAAAAAATATCTAGTAATCTTTCATTAGCTGCTCATATTTAGGAGAAAAGGCCTCAAAGACAGACTGGGGGCTTTGATATATGGAGTGATCCAGCTGAGCTGCTTCCTTAAGAAACTTCTGATGACTACATTTACGTCTTCCTTTTTAGTCAGATTCCTCAAAAGAATTAAGTAATAGTGTAAGTTAAAATTTCCAAATCAACCTGCATAAATTATTCCTCTTTTTATTCTGCAACAAACTATTTTATAAAAATAATACAAGTCCAAAACTTGGGAAGAATGAAATTGAAGAAAAAGGGAACAGGATTATGACAAAGAGCTTTTATAGGATTAAAACACCATACATTTGTAAATGTGTGCTTTGTTTTATTTCTAAGTAAAGAGTTTCTAAAAAATCAAACTGAGTAATCACTGCCTGAAATTCTGTAATATATTTAGGTTCTTAATTCTCATTCTCTTACAAGATCACTTCATTCATTCAAGATTTTTTTCAGTAATTACTATATACCAGAAACTTATTCTTGGCACTGAAAATACAGCAATGAACAAATCAGACAAAAATCTCTGCAATCATGGAACATTCATTCTAGTTTTGGCCATAGAAAATAAAATAAATACAAAGGATATAAGTATTATGAATAAAAAAGAGAGTGGGAGTGCCACTCGTGTAATCTGTATCTATAAAAGCCTAAGCAACTGTTATGACTAAACAACCAGAACGACTGATCAACCAGTCGCTATGATGCGCACTGACCACCAGGGGGAAGACGCTCAATGCAGAAGCTGCCCCCTGGTGGTCAGTACACTCCCACCAGCCAACCACCCACGGTCCCTCCCCCAGACAGCCAGCCACTATGAGCCCCTGATGCTAAACCATTCGTCGACAACCTGCTTCTGGGTTGGGGTTTCGTACTTGGCAGAGCAGCTTCCTCACTGCAATCTATTGAAAGTCAGCCCTGACACAAGAGTTTGTCTTGCTCCCATCCTCTCCCTTCCCTGAGGGCCGCCTGCCTGCAGCAGTGGCGGCGAGGGAAGGAGGAGGGGGCAAGATAGGGAACCGTGTGGTGGCAGGGCACCAATGGCAGCATCGGCATCTGGCATCCGTTCCTTCTGCACCTGGCCTGCAACCATCGCCTCCTCTCCCAACCCCACCAGGCCCTTCAGGCCCCGGGCTGGGACGGGGAACCCGGGGTGGGTAGCAGCAGACAAAGCCCCATTCCCAGGTGGGTCAAGGGCCAGTTCCCTCCTTGGGGCCTGCGGCCAACCTCCCACGGTCCCTCCACCAGGCTGGCCAACCTCCCCCGACCCCCCCACCCCCTACCTGGAAGGCCCTGATCAGCCCAGACCTAATCAGCCCTGATTGCTGGCCAGGCCTAGGGACCCCACCCGTGCATGAATTTGTGCACCAGTCCTCTAGTTTCAAATAAGGTAATCAAGGGAAGGCCTATCTAAAAATTTCACTGGTACATCACATTTTAACCTAGTTTAGAAGCTGTCGCTTCAAAAAAATAAAACAAAAAACAATTAAAAGCCTATGATAATAAATTTTAAACAAAAAAAGAAAATAAGAAGATCCTAATTTAAGACTGTAATTATAAACAAAAGCCACCTCTTCTGAGAGAGCTAAGACTAGAAATATAGCATTGACCAAATTTTTAAAAGCCAGTGTGATGATACTCTAACAAATGTTACTGTTAAACATTTACTTCTGGCCCAGCTAGCATGGCTCAGTGGTTGAGCATCGACCTATGAACCAGGAGGTTGCAGTTCAATTCCTGGTCAGGGCACATGATCAGATTTCAGGCTTAATCCCCAATGAGAAAAATTGCAGGAAGCAGGCGTTCAATGATTCTCTCTCATTATTGATGTTTCTCTCTCTCTCTCTCCTCCTCCCTTCCTCTCTGAAAGCAGTAAAAATATATTTTTTAAAAATTTACGCCAGTTTGGCTCAGTGGATAGAGCCGCGGCCTGCGGACTGAAGGGTCCCGGGTTTGATTCTGGTCAAGGGCATGTGCCTTGGTTGCGGGCACATCCCCGGTGGGGGGTGTGCGGGAGGCAGCTGATCGATGTTTCTCTCTCACCGATGTTTCTGACTCTCCATCCCTCTCTCCCTTCCTCTCTGTAAAAAATCAATAAAATATATTTTTTTAAAAAATTTACTTCTGGTTATATTCCATAAGTGTTACCCAAACATATACCACAATGCTCCAAAATTACTTAAAACCTTAATAGCATTTAAAAATGACACGAGATTATTTTTCATTTTCTTTTACCTTTAACAAATGATATCATATACAACCGTTTTAAATTAAATTTACTGGAATATAGAACCTTAAGACTGTAACAACTAAAAAAACCCTAGAATATTTAAACTAGACCCAGCAAAAACCCCAGTCCTCAGATTAATTACTAGGAAGGTATAGCTGATATCTTTTCTTTTTAATTTACCTTGCCCAGAGCGACTTTGGCGAGAGTCTACACTTGACTGTCTTCGATCCGGTGGTTCCTCGCTCCCTCCATCTGCATAAAATTAGAAAAAACATAAGCAAATAGATAATAAAATTGATGTAATATAGACTCTGGTTCTGCCTATATCTTAAAATTACTATATCTATCATTTGTTTCATTTCTTATAATTTCAATCATTAAAATATTTGAGGATATTTCCTATATTAACCAAAGGTTCTTATCCTTAAATTTTTTGTGTGTGGGGATAGTTTATTCTCCCCTCTTAAAGGGTATTCTTTCCTTATCCATATACATATACACTCTACTTTGCATATAATAAAGCTATGTTATCAACTCTGAAGTTCATTCACAGAATTGCAATTTAGAAGCCTTGATTTAAAGCAATGCCTCGATTAATTACAGCTGCTTATTTATCTAAAGCAGGAGTTGCCAACTGGTGGCCCATGGATTACTGGTAGTCCGTGAGGTCCGAAAGGCTGGCGACCGCTGGTTAAAGGAAAACTTTGGCGCAGTGGTCACCAATTAGCGGTCCCTGGACCACTGGTGGCCCATGAGGTCAAAAAGGTTGGCGACAGCTGATCTAAAAATATGTCAAATAACCCCCAGGGCTATATGTTTTACTATAGTAAAAATTACATTTACATGTTTTATAAGTGATAAGAATACTTATTATCTATATATATAAAAGCCTAAGCGACCGAATGACTGGTCGACTTGTCACTATGACGTGCACTGGCCACCAGGGGACAGATGCTCAATGCACAGGATCAGGCTCCCTCCTGTTTGGATCGGGCCTGCGGGGATCGGGTCAAAACCGGTTATCCAACATCCCCCAAGGTGTCCCGGATTGCAAGAGGGCACAGGCCAGGCTGAGGGACTCTACCAGTGCACGAACACCAGGCCTTTAGTATAATACATAAAAGAGCAATGTATATCAGAATCAGAAAAACTCAGAAATGAGAAGACAGAAACCAAGGAAGAATTAGAAATAAAACAAAAATCATTTCAGTAATGAAGACTAAACTATTAAGAAACACAAGGGCAAATAAACACAACAAAAAAATCTTTAAAAGACAGAAGGTAAAAAAATGAAAATCTTTAACAAATTATTTTTAAAACAAGAAAGAGATTAAAAAGGATTTGCAAGATGACAAATCTTGGAAATAGACAAATAAGATCCAGATATGAATAAAAAATAAGAGTCCCTAAAGAAGAAAACCTAAGTAAAAAAAAAATGGACAAATATAACAACTAGAATTTAGGAAAGCTTCCCAGGAAAAAAATGTCTATGCATTATGTAATATATATGGTTATATGTCTGCATAAATATATGTATACATACTCACACCAACATATACATATATATATGTGAAGTTACATATTATAAGAACACCATGTGTACTTGGGACAATCAACTTAGATCAATGCACCAAGGTATTTTCTATTAAAATTCCTGGACTTTAAAGAAAAAATCCTTTGGGCATTTAGGCAAAACATCACATGATTTATAAGAAAAAAGTAATAGAAGAAAATGGAATAATATATTGAAAATACACAAAGACATATTTGAGCTGAAGATTTTCCATGAAATAAAATTTACCTCTAAGTATAAAGAGTAATGACAAACTGTTATCAACATGCGAGGATTTAGGAAATATTGTTCTCATGATCTCTTTCTAAGTCTAACAGAGGACTAACATTGGGCAATCAAAGTGACTAGAGACACATCAAAATAAGGACTGGCAATAAGAATTAAACATACAATTGATTGTAGAATTAAGACTAAATGAAGGTTTTAAAACAGAGAGATTATAGTATGTAATGGCTATAAGACCTGACAATGTAGATACAGAGCAAGTCATTTGCATAATACCTTCCTGTAGAAGGTATAGCAGGACTATATCGGTGAAGTTAGAATTTACTTACCAAACATGAATTAAAGACTTACTACAAATATACAGGGTGGGGTAAAAGTTAGTTAGTTGTCCTTATGGAAAATAATAGAATAATTAATTAATAATAATACAAGAATAAATTCTGTACTTCACATACAACTATAAATTTACTTTTGCTCCACCCTGTGTTGTGAACTTAAGAGAGGAAAACCCACTGATGTAACATGTACAGAAATAATAAAGGAAAGACCTGACTGTCCAACCCAAGTACTAACTTCTCAAATCAGAGCTGAGATTTCCTGGATTTGAGATAATCATCAGAGAACATCTGTTTTTTTAATCAGCTTACTGACTTAAATCCAGCAAATAATATAAAACAACATATCTTTAATACTGAGAAACATTGTTAATAGATTTTTAAATTCCCATTATTTCAAAGAGTTATGAATAATGTCATAGGAGAATTACCACATAGGATAGACAGCTTTCAAATCAGGTGTATTAGGGCACTAATACATTCCTAGTAAAGAAATACCAACCATATAGAGAATATTCAGTATTTAATGATTTCCTATAAAGGAATTGAACTTAGGGGAAGTCTAATAGGAAAGTGCCTAAACAATTCCAAGAAAAATGTTTTCTTTCCTGTAAGTAAGGGATACTTTAAATGATTAATTCTTTTCAATTCAGGATCAAAACATTATAGTTGAAAATTAAACAACTTAAGTGACTTTAAATGTGGCAGCTCAAACCCATCTTTAGTGTTCTCAGCTAGAATAAATATTAGATTAGATTTCTGAGTTCAACTTTGGAAGTTGTCTTCAATCTTCCTTTAGGAACTTAAATATATGACCCTAATAGAAAGGGTGGGGAGGTATTAAAACTGAATGGAATACAAATACACACACACACACACACACACATATGTATTAAAGTTTTACTATTCAGATATGAATAGTATACACTTAATGCCAACAAGGACAGACATGATTTGGTGGCCAGCCTGCAAACAGCCATCAGCCCCTCACTCAGGTTGGCCAGGCACCCCAGCAGGACCCCCACCCTGATCCAGGACACCCTTCAGGGCAAACCAGCCAGCCCCCACCCATGCACCAGGCCTCTATCCTATATAATAAGAGAGTAATATGCAAATTGACCCTAACAGCAGAATGACTGGGAATGACAGGTCACTATGACACACACTGACCACCAGGGGGCAGACGCTCAATGCAGGAGCTGCCCCCTGGTGGTCAGTGTGCTCCCACAGGGGGAGCTCTGCTCAGCCACAAGCCAGGCTGATGGCTGCCAGTACAGCGGTGGTGGTGGGAGCCTCTCCCGCCTCCTCAGCAGCACTAAGGATGTCCGGCTGCAGCTTAGGTCTGCTCCCCGCTGGCAAGTGGACATCCCCCGAGGGCTGCCAGGCTGCCAGAGGGATGTCTGATTGCCAGCTTAGGCCCAATCCCCCCGGGGAGCAGGCCTAAGCCAGCAGGTCGCCATCCCCCAAGGGGTCCCAGACTGCGAGAGGGCACAGGCTGGGCTGAGGAACGCCCCCTCCCCGAGTGCACAAATTTTTGTGCACCAGGCCTCTAGTTTTAAATATAAGATTCATATTCAGAGGAGTAAATGACTTTCCCAAAAGCACACTGTAAGTAAGTAGCAATCCTAAAATTAAAATTGTCTGGTTTCAAAATTCTGCATTCTTTTCAAGACTCTCCACTGCCCACTATTATAACAACAACAACACCTATTAAGGTGGGGAAAGGGGGAACAGAAAGGGGAAGAGAATTCAAAAGCAGACAGAGACGATTAAGAGGCTGCTGTGAAAATCCAGAAGAATGAACACTTGGGCTAAGTGCGTAGTGGAAGTAGTCAGATTCTGAATATATTCTAAAGGTACAGTGAAGAAAATCTAAGGGAAAGAAAGAAGTCAAGGGTATTAAATATTTTGGACCCAAACAATGTTTCTGCAATTTACTGAGATAGGAAAGACTTTGAGAGAATAGGTTTGGGGATGAGTGCCGGGAGCCGGTCCATCCTTGCTGTTTCAAGGGACCTGGCATATATGGCATACTGTTCTTAATATATTTGCTCACCTTCTTGGCACTATGTGTTTTAACCAAGGTCACCTCTCCGAGAAAGGTTGTTTCCCCAGGTAGGGATTTTCCCCTGAAGTTAGGGAGGGAATAAGACCTCTTAACTGCCAGGTGGGTAATTAATCACTTTAACTATGAACAATCATGCTTAAGTACATAATCTTTACTCCCTGG